AACACGGTGAAACCCCGTCTCTACTAAAAAATACAAAAAAAAAACTAGCCGGGCGTGGTGGCGGCGCCTGTAGTCCCAGCTACTCGGGAGGCTGAGGCAGGAGAATGGCGTAAACCCGGGAGGCGGAGCTTGCAGTGAGCTGAGATCCGGCCACTGCACTCCAGCCTGGGTGACAGAGCCAGACTCCGTCTAAAAAAAAAAAAAAAAAAAAAAGTAAAAATACAGAAATAACCTAAATGACCACTGGTTAAATAAAAGAGTATACATTAACACTATGGTACGCTGTTATAGTTGTTGCAAAAAATTAAACAGACCAGAACAAGAAAAGTGAACCAATGGAATAGAATTGAGTTGTTAAACAGACACTATTTAGTGCAGGTTAAAGAGTCATTTCAAAACAGTAGAGAAAAATAGACTAGTCAATAAATGTTGAGACAACTGGCTGCCCATTGCCCTTATCTAAAACCATTCGCAAATACTTTAAATGCACATGGATTACAGAAAAATTAAAATAAAATATGGGCGAATATGTTCTATAAACTTGGTATAAGAAAAGCCACCTTAAAAACACAAAAACCAAAAGCTATGAAGAAGAAGAGGAATAAATATGACTAAATAAAACATAAAACTTCTACAAAGACACCATTAAGAAAGTTGAAAGACAATTCACAGGTTGAAAGATATTTGCAACATAAATAGCAGAGAAAGAATCAGGTGTGTGTGTGTGTGTGTGTGTGTGTGTATATATATATATAGAGAGAGAGCTATAAAATCAATTTAAATGAAAAAAAATCCAAAAGAAAAAATAGGTTAAAAAACAGGTAATCCATAGAAGAGGAAATAGAAATATCTACTCAATATGTGGATATATGCAAATTATACCTACTATGTAATGCAACTTGTTACCCAAGTGATAAAAACATAAGGCTTGAAAACATCACGTGTTGGTGAGGGTGTGGTGAACAGGCTGCAAACCAGGGTGTGAATTGATACTGATATTCTGAAGGGCTATTTGGCTGTATGAATTATGATGAAAATGGGCACAAATTATGACCCAGAGAATCCATTTCTAGGAGCACACCCTAAAGAAACATTCACATATGTGCACAAGCTTATTCACTGAAGCATTATTTGTAACAGTGAAAAACATCAAAATGTCATCAGCAAGGGAATAAGCTATGATAGCCAGGATTGCAGGAGTTTTTAAAAATATGGCAAATCTCTACATATTGACATACACTGAAGGACAGCCAAGTGATATTCTTAAGTTAAAAAAAGGCTTCAGAAAAATGCAGAATAATGTTTTAAAACAAAGTCAATTATATATATTTCTAAAGGTACATGTATGTATGTAATATACAGACAAAGGTATCAGAGATAATCACCAAACTGGTAATAGTTCACTCTGGGGAGGGGACTGTGTTGGGGTAAGGGACAGTCAAGAGAGGTTTTGACTTTATGTTTGAATTTTTAAAAATTAAGAGTATATTCACTTATATAATTTTAAAATAAATATTTATAAAACAATTAATATACAAAATTATAAACTGTATAACAGGGGAATGGGCAAAGTCCTCTGGGAACATAGTGAAAGGAGAAACCAGTTTAGCAAGCAGAAAGATTTTGTAGCAGTTGTGACATTTTCACTGGGCCTGGCTATTCAAATAGGATTTTGTCAAGGATTTGTAATTTGATGGAAGATTGTGGCAGATTATATTTTCCAAAGATGACTATACCAACATATGTCTCATCCAGTATGCTTTTCTTTCGATATGGCATTGACACTCCTCCATGGAGAGGTTGGGGAGGGTCTATGTCCCCACCCCCTTAAACTTGGACAGGGCTTTGTGATTGCCTTGATGAACAGAATGAGGTGGAAGTATTACAGCATGACTTCTGAGATTATTCAACTTCTGTCTGGTCCTTTCTTTCATAAAATACTCATCCTTGAAACACAGCCACGATGCTGTCAGGAAGCCCAAACTAGCCTACACGGAAAAACCACATGAAGAGGCTCATGTGGGGAGGAACTGAGGCCTCCAGCTGACAACCAGCACCAACTGCTGGACATGTGAGTGAGCAAGCCTTCAGATGATTCCTGCCCCAGCCTTTGTGCTCCCTGGCTAAGGCTAGATATGCATCATGGAACAGAGACAAGCCATCCCCACTGTGCTCTATCCTAATTCCTGACCCGAGAATCCTTGAGCAGAATAAATGATTATGCCACGAAGTTTCAGTGCAATGTGTTACACAGTCAAAGTAACTGGAACAAAGACATTCTAAAGAGAAGACAAGTAATGGAATGTCACAGGGCACTGTGAGTACTGGCAGTTTTAGGTGATGAAGCCCATAGTCTGGCTGGGACCAGACTATGAAAAGTACTTGTATGGTACTATTTTAAAAATTAGACTTATCCTATTGCCAGTGGAGAACTGTTGAAAGCTTTTAAGCTGGGAAGTGAAATGCTAAGATCTGCATTTTAGCAAGATACCTCTGAGACTACTGTAAAGGAAAGATTACAGAAATGAACGACTTAAAAATAGAAAAAGCCCCTCTGATTAAGATGGATCCCAGTCAAGTAAAATGGTGGGATCCCCGCTCTGGCTACACGTTTTTGACTTTTTCCTCTTGAGGATTGCTTCTTATGCTCATTTATACTCAATTTCACTTGTATTAAAATGTTAGGAGGGAAAACTTCTGTCCATATAAAAACCTGCCACAGATGTTTAAAGCAGCTTTATTCATAACTGCCAAAACTGCAACCAAGATATTCTTCAATAGGTGAATGGATAAACTGTGGTACATTCTATTCAGCACTAAAAAGAAAAGCGCTATCAGCTCAGTGTGGTGGCTCATGCCTGTAATCCCCACACTTTGGGAGGCTGAGGCGGGTGGATCACAAGGTCAGGAGATTGAGACCATCTTGGCTAACACAGTGAAACCCCGACTCTACTAAAAATACAAAAATTAACCAGGCATGGTGGCACGCGCCTGTGGTCCCAGCTACTCGAGAGGCTAAGGCAGGGAGGCAGGAGAATCGCTTGAACCTGGGAGGTGGAGGTTGCAGTGAGCCGAGATCACACCACTGTACTCCAGCCTGGGCGACAGAGTGAGACTCTGTTTAAAAAAAAAAAAAAAAAAAAAAAAACCAAAGAAAAGAAAAGAGCTACCAAGCCATAAAAAGACATGGAGGAACCCAGAGTGTTCATTACCAAGTAAAAAAAAAAAGTCTAAAAATCATACATACCATCTGATTCCAACTATATGACGTTCTGAAAAAGGAAAAACTATGGAGACAGTAAAAAGATCACTGGTTGTTAGGGGTTAGTGGGAGGGAGGGACGAATAGACAGCACAGAGGATTTTTAGGGTAGTGAAACTACTACGTCTGATACTATAATTGTGGATACACATCATTACACATTTGTCCAAACCCACAAAATGTATAACACCAAAAGTGAACCCCAGTGTAAACCGTGGACTTCGGATGATTATATGGCAATGGAAGTTAATTGATTGTAACAAATGTACCACTCTGGTGTGGAATACAGGGTACATGGGAAATCTTTATTTTCTGCTCAAATTCGCTGTGATCCTAAAACTGCTCTAAAAAAAGAAAGTCTATTTTTAAAATCTTAGGAGAAAAAAATGTTAGGGGGTGTCAGAATACAAAAACATTTTCCTTAATGCTCTTCTTTCAAGTTCTGGATCTAAATCTGTTTAAGAATACAAAGCAAGCTATCTAAAAATTATAACCACTTATAACTAATTATCTATGTGACTAATGCCATCCTTATACAAACATCACTATAACCCCCAATTTCTTGTTTTTGTGTTTATTAAAATATCCTCATCATTCTCACAACTTGCTTTGTAAGAAAACTCTATAAACATAAACTTGAAAAAGAAAATAAACCTATACTAATAAACTCTAGCACTTATACACTGGATATTATAGATCTATATAAGGAGAAAATGTGAGATACATGGTCCAACAAGAGTGAGAACATATAACTCAAAACATAAAAAGCCACCTCTGTGGTAAGGGAAAAGATGCCTGTATGATTATAAAAGCAAAGATTTATAAGGTGATGAAAGATACTAATGAGAACGTTTCATTCTCATATTGGCAGAAGATCTTCCATTCTACTTTCTGAGAAAATCAAGAGGACGAATGCATTGAAAATTGAGAGTTCATGGAGAATAGAGACAGGATGCAGTGACTCAACAGTGAGTCAGTCAGATCCTCAAGGATCCAGAGTAGTCGCAGAACCCAGTAGGAACTCAATCGTGTAATTTATTGGAGGCCCGTTTTGTATAATTTTATACTGTGCCTTTCTCTAATGTTAATTGTTCAAGAGATGATTAACCAATTTGTGGCTACTGTGCATCTTGCCTTTTCACATCTTCACTTAATGCCTGCCTTTGAAAGAGGTCATAATTTAAATTCTTTATGAAAAGTAGGAACTAAAATTAATTTTCGATTTAAGGCGTGTAGTCAATTTTTGAAACAATGAAAAAGGAAAAAGTAAAACAGAAAGAGAGAAAACACTGAAACAAATGGTAAAACAAGATTATAGGACCATGTTGTGGTTTGAATTTATCCATGCTAGTTCTATCCCTCATTAACAAAGTTAAATAGAAGCCAACGGTTGCTATATTTCACAAAATAAAATCTGATAAATAAACTTCCTATTCCTTAACCAATTTACCTGCACCCAAAAGATTATAAACTTCTGCAGCTTCTGACAAGCATGTGATTGGAGAGACAATGGAAGGAGGTGTTGCTAGTAAAGGCAGCTTTGGATCATCATCAGAAAATGTCATCAGGTCCTGACAGAAAACACGAGAACATGAGAATTGAAGAAAAAAATTAGTATCACTGGATGGACAATTTATGGAGCTACAAAGTATCCAAATGTGCTAACATCATCATAAACACATTCTGATTTAATTAACTCATACATACATCTACCACGTGGCTGTCTACTGGGCGTAGGGAGGTTTTCTGCCCTTGGGAATCCCCACACCTTGCTGAAGACACTTTGTGTAGATAGCAAGGATTTTGTTTAGGGCACTACCTTTACCTACCACCCTTCAGCATCCTTACAGCATACTATCTCAGAGGCCAATTATCTTGTCTCATTGGTAATCATAAAGCCAGTTGTATGTATCTTTTATTCATATTTAAAACTTTTAACTTTTTATCATCAAGTAAAAACTAGACACAAAAGATAATCAATCCAATCATGCCGGTCAAACACTAATCAAATGATGGCTAATCGTGTCTCATTTATATCCCTACCATGCCTCATTTGTGATCTGTGACAACCTGTTTCACTTTGAGGCAAATCCTAGAATAATCCCTTGTTTCATTATGTATCTCTGCCTTAGTCCATTCCGGGTGCTATAACAAAATACCATCAACTGAGTGGCTTATAAACAACAAAAATTTCTTACAGTTTTGAAAGTTAGCAAGTCCAAGATCAAGGTGCCAGTACAATATCATACTGATGTCTGGCAAGGACCTACCTCCTAAACAGTCATTTTTTCACTATAACCTCTCATAGAAGAAGGTGACCAAGGAGTTCTCTTGGCCTCTTTTATAAGGGCACTCATATTCATGAGGGCTATGCCCTTATGACCTAGTCACCTCCCAAAGATCCCGCCTCCTAATACCATCACTTTGGGGGTTAGGATTTCAACTAAGAATTTGGGAGGAAAACAAGTGTTCAGATGATAGCAATCTCTAATTGATAATAGCTGCATCAAACTGATAAACTTCACAGCTCCTAATGTCATCAATTACCATAAACTGTTCATATTTCCAACTTCTCCTAAATGTCATAAACAGGTTTTTCTACAGCTTGTTTGAAAAAGGATCCAAATGAAGTCTATAGAGTAGGTTTAGTTGGTATGTTTCTTTTTTTCTGTGAACTGGGGATTTTTCTCCATTGTAATTAACATACAGTAAAATGCACAGATCTTAAATGTAGAGCTCAATAACTTTTATCATATGAGTATACAGTTACATAGTAACCACATTTCCTTCACCCACAAAGTTTCCTCAAGCTCCTTTCCAGCTGATACCATCCCACCACCCTGCATCATGACCGCTATTCTATCCCTATCGCCATTACTGAATTTTGCCTGTTCTTGAATTTCATATGAATGTAATCATACGCTATGTATACTTTTGTGTCTGGTTCCTATTGCTCAACATAATGTACATGAGATTCATCCATGTTTTGCTGTGTAGTTCCTCCCTCCTTTCCTACCTATAAGAAAGGAGGGACAGATTATACAAAAAACATATGTGAATGTATCACAATTTGTTTATCCATTCTCCTGCATATGGATAATTTCCAAAGTTTATCTATTATGAATAAAGCTACTACGAACATTCTTGCATAAATCTTTTTGTGGACAAATGCACTCATTTTTCCTGGATACTACACGGTAGTAGTATAGCATTTCTAGCTTATAGGACAGGTCTATTTTTAACTTCATTAGAAATTGCCAAACCATTTTCCAAAGTGATTTACCACTTTTAAAAATGCAACTTTGAGTTCATTTTAGTTCCACATGTAAGAATTAATAGAGCCTATGTAGCCTTTGCCGTGTTTCTTCTAAAAGTAACATCTTGCAAAATTGTAGTACAATATCATACTCAGGATATTGACATTGAAGCAGTCAAGATACAGAACATTTCTATCACAATCACAAGAATCCTTTCTGATGCCCTTTCATAGACATACACTCCCTCAACAGAACTAATCTGTTCCTAATCTCTCCTTCATTTTTATAGTTGTGACATTTGAAGAATGCTATATAAATGGAACCATATAGTGTGTAACCTTTTGGGACTGGCTTTTTTAGCCTTGCATAATTCCTAGAGATTCATCCAAATTGTTTAATTTCAATAGTTTCTTCCTTTTCATTGCATAGTACCCTTGATACAGATGTAACATAGTTTAACCTGTAAAAGGACCTCTGGGTTGTTTCTAGATTTTGGCTATTACAAATAAAGCTGCTGTGAACATTTGTGTACAGGTTTTTGTATGATATACATTTTCTTTTCCTTTTTGAGACGGAGTCTCAGTCTGTCGTCCAGGCTGGGGTGCAGTGGCACCATCTTGGTTCACGGCAGTCTCAACTTCCCAGGCTCAAATGATCCTCTCACTTCACCCTCCCAAGTAGCTGGGACTACAGGCACGCGTCACCATGCCTGACTAATATTTTTTAATTTTTTTTTTTTTTTTTTTTTTTAGAAATAATCTGTAGCCATGTTGCCCAGGCTGGTCTTGAACTGCTATGCTCATACAATCCACCCAACCTTGGCATTCCAAAGTGCTGGGATTACAGGCATGTGCCACTGTGCCAGCCTAGATGTTCATATCTCTGGAATAAATTCCTAGGAGGGCAGTTGCTGTTCATATAGTAACCATGTTTAGATTTATTAAAAAGTACCAAATTGTTTTCCAGAGTAGCTGTACCATTTTGTGTTCCTACCAGTAATATATTAGTGTTTTAATTTATCCATATTCTCACCAGCATTTGGTGTTGTCACTACTTTTTTATTTTAGCCATTTTGATATTCATTGCATGTTTAAATTACATTTTCCTGAAGGCTAATAATGTGGAACAACTTTTCGTGCGCTTACTTGCCATCTGTATTTGCTAAAATGACTGTTCATAACATGTGCCCATTTTCTAATTGGACTGTTTGGTTTTAAACTGGTGAGTTTTAACAGTTCTTTAAATGCTCTAGATATTAGTCCTTTGCCAGATATGGGGTTTACAAATATTTTTTCCCAGTCTGTAGATTATCCTCTTAAACGGCTCTTTTGCAGAGCAAACATTTTTAATTTTGATGAGGTCTGATTTATCATTTTTCCTTTTAGGGATCATGCTTTTATCTAGTTCTTTTTCTTTTTTTTTTGAAACGGAGTCTCGCCCTGTCGCCCAGGCTGGAGTGCAATGGTGCGATCTCAGCTCACTGCAACCTCCACCTCCGGGTTCAAGTGATTTTCCTGCCTCACCCTCCCGAGTAGCTGTGATTACAGGTGCGTGCCACCACTCCCAGATAATTTTTTGTATCTTTAGTAGAGACAGGGTTTCATCATGTTGGCCAGGTTGGTCTTGAACTCCTGACCTTGTGATGCGCCTGCCTCAGCCTCCCAAAGTATGGGGATTACAGGCACGAGTCACCGTACCCAGCCTCAGTTCTAAATCTCAAAGATTTTTCTCCTATATTTTCTAAAAGTTTTATAGTTTACATTTAAGTCTGTGATTAACTTGGAGTGGATTTCTATATAAGGCTTAGGTCGAGATTCATGGTTGTCTGAATGTCCAATTGCTGTAGCACCATTTTTTGAAAAGGTTAATCCTCCTACACTGAATTTCTTTTGCACCTTTGTCAAAAATCAGTTGGTCATGTTTGTGTGTGTCTATTTCTGGGTTCTCTATTCCGTTCCACCGATCCAAGTGTCTGTCTCTCCACCAATACCGCACTCTCTTGAATACTGTAGCTATACACAGGCATTAATATCAGGCAGAGGGATTACTCTCATTTTGTTCTTCCTTTTCAAGACTGTTTTAGCTATTTTAGGGCCTGTGCCTTTCCATATCAATTTTAGAACAAGGCTCTTATCTATCCCTATAGAAAACCTTTCTGGGATTTTAATAGGAATTACATTAAACCTATAGAATAATCAGGGTCATCTATATTATGACACCTTTACTATGTTGAGTCTTCCAATCCATGTAACATGACAGGTCCCTATTTGGGTCCTCTTTAATTTCATTCATCAGTATTTTATAATTATCAACATATAGATTCTGTACATGTTTTGTTAGATTTATACCTAAGTATTTCAATTTGGATTTATACCTAAGTATTTTAATTTATACTTCAGTATTTTAATGCCTAAGTATTTCAATTTATACTTAAGTATTTCAAATGGTATTGTCTTAATTTAAGTTTCCATATGTTCATTGTTAGTATGTAGATATTCAATTGATTTCTGTATGCTTTTATATATTGCTGGATTCAACTGGCTAATATTTTGTTGAGAATTTTTTGCGTCTAGTTTCATGAGAAATATTAGTCTGTAGTTTTCTTTTTTTGTTCCATCTTTGTTTTAACTTGGGATCAGGGTAATACTTGCCTCATAAAATGAATTGGGAAATGTTCCCTCCTGTTCCATTTTCTGGAAGACATTGTGTAAAATTGCTGTTAATTCTTTATTTTTTGATTTTTTGATTTTTGAGACAGGGTCTCACTCTGTCACCCAGGCTGGAGTACAGTGGTACAATGACGACTCTCACTGCAGCCTCAAACTCCCAGGTTCAAGCAATCCTCCCACCTCAGCCTCCTGAGTAGCTGGGACTACAGGTGGGTGCCACCGTACCTGGCTATTTTTTTTTTTATTTTTGTAGAGATAGGGTCTCTCTAGGTTGCCCAGGCTAATTCTTCTTTAAATGTTTGGTAGAATTCTCTAGTAAAACCATCTGGGCCTAGAAATTTCTTTTTCAGGGGACTTATGCTTCAAATTCAATTTTTAAAATGATTGTAGAACCATTGAGTTTGGGTAGTTTATATTTTCTGAGAAATTATTTCTTTTGATTTGTCAAAGTTATAAAGTTTTTGGGTTTGTTTTTTTTTTTAAAGGGTCTCACTCTACCTATGTATTTTGATTATCTATTTGTTTTACTGTTTTGTTTTTGTTTTTGTTTGAGACAGAGTCTCACTCTGTAGCCCAGGCTGGAGTGCAGTGGCATGATCTGGGCCCACTGCAAGCTCTGTCTCCCAGGTTCGAATGATTCTCGTG